ACTAATTGCATTTGTTAAATATTTTGTTGATTTAGGTTTTTATCACCAATCATGAGATAGATTGCATTAAAGTAAATATATCAGTGTTCATGTAATAGATGAAGGGTTAGATTTACAAAACATTTGATAGACATATTTCCTGACAGTTGGTCTGAGACTCCCTTTGGATGTGCTTTCCCTCAGTTGGTTAGTGTATTTGATACTTAATCAGTCATCCTATTTTCTTTCTTCTTCTTGTATGGACTTAGGTTTGAACTGGAATGTATTGTGTGTGTTTTCTGCCAGTAGTGATGGTTGTGATGTATGTATGTTCCAGTATGTTTTGCTGTTTTAATTAGAATGTTTTCTATAGGTTTTGTGCATAAATGAGTACAGATGTGAATTTATGTATGTTTATCTTCTAGTTATATACTGTTGTCACCCCACCTGTTTACTAATTTCTGTGGAGCATAGTATTCTATGAGTAGATATTGACTTTTATGTAGTCCTTAGTCAACATCAAAGCACAGATTTGCAGAAAATCTTTACTGCAACATAGTTATATTCTGGAGAAATAGTATATGCTGCAGAGATGGTTCATTTAACCTTTTGTGGACTAGTTCCATATCATTAAGTGTATGTAGGCATGACAGATCCCAAATCATTATGATGGTTTGGGTTTTTATGGACAAGTTTAAGAATATAGTTTAAAAAAATGCTAACTGACAGTTTTGGGTACTCCTATTTTATCTACTATCATGCTATCCATATAATCAGTCCAGGCGAGATTTTTTTACATGATAAAGATCTCTACAGACCCATACCCATCAATCACCTAAGTCCCCTGTTGCTCCAGTTACTTGAGCTCCTCACAGAAAGACAAAGGAGCTGGATACAAGTAATAATTCTGGAATTATAGTACAGAGACTTACAATAACAAATGATGAACAGATTTTGCTGCTTTCTCATGATATATTGCCTGTGGATAGCAAATGAGATTACAGGATCTGGAATAATGAATAAAGGGAGCCTCCCAGTATCAGTCATTGTTGGTGAATGATAGAGGTTACACATTTATGACCATTCTTTATCATTACAGTTTTTGGTTACTCATTATCATTATTAATTATTTTTATGGGACAAGATATGTTTTTTGGGAGGGGTAAAATTTGGATGTACAGCATCAGAAATATGCCATGTTGTGGGTGTTGCTTGGATATCTCTAGCTCATCTGCAAGGAGTTAACAGTGTTAGCCATTTAGGCACTGAAATTTATTTTTTAATATTTGGCATTTATTGAAAATGAAATTCACAAGGAATGGATTTTGCACATATTTCTTAAAATTAATTTTATGCATTTTGTAAGGGAATTTCTTTACTTCATGCATCATTTTTATCATTCAATATGCCTCCTATGCATTAAATTAAAAGCAAGTCTTGCTTTACCCTTTGCATCAGACATAAAAAGCATAAATACAGTGAAGAAATTTGATCTATTGTCATGTTGCATCATCTTGCACATTGTATGGTAATGTTTATATCATGTAGTATTATCTGATAAACTAAGTATTTAAATTGCATATGAATGTATGCATGTAAGTAGGATGTATTTTATTGTTGTACGGTTGATAATTATGTACTCTTAGTAAATTCCTAGATTCACTGATCATTACAAATATTATATCAGGTATGGATATCATTATCCATACATTTAAATTAAGTTAAAGCTGATAGACTATCCCTTATCAAACATTCTGGAGAATGACTTGATTCTCCTAAGTAGAGATCTGTGAATTGCTTATCACTTGGCAAAGTAGTGATGAACTCTGTTTGTGGTGAATATGAGACTACAATAATGTCTTCCTTTGTGCTTTCATTATCTCCACATGGTATGGTCAACCTCATTTTTATTTGATATATTATTATCAAAACAAACGTAATTTACTGTTGTGATTGGCTTCATATATCATAAGATTCATAACAGCATATTCAACTTGTTAATAATAATGAACATGAATATGTCTGTGATTAAGTACTATTGTTTTACAAATTAATTATCTAGATTGAGGTTTTAGTCCAGTAAACTAAAAGTCCCATATTTTGTTATGAAACAGTCAGTAATAATTAAAAAGAAATGTATTAGTAAAAAAAAATATACAACTGCCAGTTATAGCTTCTTATCATAAGCTTCACTCATAGATTTTATTTACACATGCAACACATTTTATAAATATCCTTAGCTAATGTGCACACACAAGAAGACAAAACACATTTTATTAAGAAAAAGATGTGCAATTAAGAGTATTTGGTTTGCATATTTTTTTGTTCCTGAAACATAATACAGAATGCTATTATATTTAACATACAAATTAGAAATAGAAAAGATCCATATTCCCTACTAATGCTACTATTACATATTAGTCATGATTCAAAGAGAATATAGTTAACATGCATATCATGAATATTGAATATAAGATGTTGAAGCTAAGATATATCTTGTAAAGTATCAGAGCACATACTTATTGAATAAAAATAAAACAGTTCTTTATTATGAAAGTTGTGTTAAGCAATCAGAAAGTTATGATAAACACTTTTTAGTTCTTGGTTATGATATGTGTCGTTGGGAAGTGTTTCATACACAAAAGGATATTGATTATATATGAATAGGTTGAATGTTATAATTGATTCCTTTGTAGATTCAGTGCATGATATCTGCAAGTATGTTATAATCTAGCAAGAGAGATAATGAACTTATGGCAGTTTCACTGTAAAATATACTTCAACTGGTAATCTAAATTACTAATGACATACATAATCACTGACTGGAAGAGTACCTTATATTTTGGCCCATTACAATCGCAGGGTGGTGAGGCCACTCAATCTGCCTCTCATGATGGCCAATTGGATCCACCGTCAACTAGTGATGGAGGTGGTACCTCTGGTGGTGGTGGTGAACAGGAGAGCCAGGAGAATGGGGAGGAAGGCCAAGTAGAGGATCTGGAAGAGAATGACACTGACTATCTGCCAGGTCCTTCTCATGCCCCCCCTCCCCCTCACCTTGCTCCTACCTCACCCCACCACCAAGGCCACCCCATGTTTCAAATAGGTGACGAAACGGATGAGGACGGCAATGCAGATCCACCTGTAAGATATCAATGTCCGTCACGGTTGCTGATTATGATTTATGAGTTTATGCTTTATTCACAAGTTTGCTGTGTGAAACTTGCGTTTTGCCTTGAGATGTGTGCTACCATTGCAAGAAATGCATCTCATTTTTCAACTTAAGATAGGCAAATTAAAGTCAGGTGAAAAAAAAAGTGCTATGTGTCTCCTTCAGTGATATGACAAAGCTTCTATAAGACAGGAGATGCTCTAGTTGAATATAAAAGCACATTGGTTGTGCCTTGCCTTGTCTACAAAAATGCACTGAATTTATCTTTCACTGTGTAACAAAACCAGTGCACTCCTTAAACTTTTATCATTTGGGCCTTTATTGCACAAGGTCACGGGGCATTATGCCATAGTTTTATGCATGGTGTCCTGCTTTTCACAACTAGGAGCTGTGTGAAAAGATCTCTTAGATTTTGATAAAAAAAAATCCCTGTTGCAAAAGCTCAAGAAAATAAGTATAAATTATAACAGTAGCATAGTTTAATTTGTAGGTTTAGTGCATTTATTAAGTATGGTAAATAGATTCAGGGTCATTATTTCCTAGATTTTGGTATGTTTTGCAAGTAAATAGTTGTACTGTTGACAACCTTTATATTTTGGCAATATGGGAATTTAAGAGTTATTGCTGCAGCTGCTTCCACCTTTTTTTTACTTTGGTAATTAAAGAAAAAGATGTATTTTTTTGTAATTGGAATAATGCTAATATTAGTAATATGGAGCACTCACCTTTTCTGTAATTTGTTATTTTTGTTTTTTCTTCTGTTTTATATATAGATGTGTGATCACATTTGCTGTACTATATCACATAATTTTTATGTATCTATATTTATAGATAGAGAATGGATGAATTAACTTGTAAATTATTAGTATCATATTAATCTAAATGTAAATACCTTGTAAGGGAGTTGTCCTAATGCAATAGGATTTTGTAAGTGAGGGGTAAGTGCAATATTTCACAGCTTGTAGGGTGTAAATAGTTTTTTCATTGCTAAAAGGTACTTTATACCAAGATCATGTCTAAGCCCTAGGTTCTTCATGATCAGTCTATTTCATTAATTAATCATTGTACATATTAGTTACTTTTTAATGTGTTGTATCACAGACTTGTAACAGAATGCTCAGTTGATTAAATTTCCTTGTTAGATAGTATACGGATAAGGTAGTTCTTTTATGCAGCTGAATGACAACGGGCATAGATGTCGATATGCAAAGAGAAAGTATCAGTGTCTGATCTTGGATAACAATTACAGGCCATCAGTGAAACTGGTGGACCTGGCCCTGGGCAGCCATTACCTCTGGCTAGGATGGCCAACAGCCCAGGCAGAGATGATGATGATGATGAGGAAGATGATGAAGATGATGATGATGATGTTCATGCTCCAGCACCAGAAGGGTATTAATTATTCATTGCTGATTGAATCTTCAGTGTATCTCTTTCTTTCTCTCTCTGTGTCTTTGTCTGTCTTTCTACATCTCTCTCTCTCTGTCTGTCTCTCTCTCTCTGTCTGTCTCTCTCTCTCTCTCTTTCTCTCTCTCTTCTTCTCTCTCTCTCTCTCTCTCTCTCTTCTCTCTCTCTTCTCTCTCTCTCTCTCTCTCTTCTCTCTCTCTTCTCTCTTCTCTCTCTCTCTTTTCTCTCTCTCTCTCTCTCTCTCTCTCTCTCTCTCTCTCTCTCTCTCTCTCTCTCTCTCTCTCTCTCTCTATTGTATTCTAGGATTCCCGTGTATATGTGTTTGGGCAGTCACACCATTTTACCTTCCTTTTCTGCTTCCACATGTTTCCTGATTTTATGAAAATAAACATCTTACAAAGATACCACTTATAAATGCCTATGGTTTTACATTACTTTCTGA